CGTTGTTATCCTCCTCCTCCTCCTCCTCCTCCTCCTCCTCCTCCTCCTCCTCGTAGCTGTTCTCCAGAAACCCCACTGCCTTCTAGCACTGATGATGTTCCCTAGTTGGGTAATGAAATGTCTGCAAGGAAACAACCCAGCTCAAAGAGCACCAAGGACCCCACATTCCTCCTCCTCCTCCTCCTCCTCCAGCTTGTTCTCCACAAACCCCACTGCCTTTTAGCACTGATGATGTTCCCTAGATGGGTCATGAAATGTCTGCAAGGAAACAACCCAGCTCAGAGAGCACCAAGGACCCCACAGTCCTAGTTCTTCTCCTCCTTCTCTGCCTGTTCTCCACAAACCCCACTGCCTTCTAGCACTGATGATGTTACCTAGGTGGGTAATGACACACCAAGCTTAGAAAGCACCAAGGACTCTTCCTCCTCCCCCTCCCTTCTAATACTCATGATGTTCCTTAATTCGCTAATGCAGCATCTGCTCTGAGAACACCTGAGCCGAGGTGGCGCAGCGGTTAGAGTGCAGTACTGCAGGCCACTTTAGCTGACTGTGTTCAGCAGGTCAGCGGTTCAAATCTCACCGGCTCAAGGTTGACTCAGCCTTCCATCCTTCCGGGGTAGGTAAAATGAGGACCCAGATTGTTGGGGGCAATGTAAATATATATATATATATATATAATATATATATATATATATATATATATATATATACTATATATATATATATATAGGTCTTTGGTTGTTCGGGTTTTCTCCCGCGTAAAATTGGAAGTGTCTTGGCAACGTTTCGACGAAGTCACCTTCGTCATCTTCAGGCTGGTGTTTTTAGCTTCTTGCTTTGAGCAGCAATGTGTGGTTTTAGCTGTTTCTTCCTTTTAACTGCCAGTGAGGGTATGAACTGATTGGATGGGAGCTTGGCTGTGTTCTGATTGGGTGGAGGTGTGTTCTGAATGGTTAGGGGCTTGGCTGTGCTCTGATTGGCTGGGGGAGTGTTCTGTTTGGTTGTGCTCAGGTTAGTCTGAGTTGCAGAGGGGTTTAAGATTTTGGGTTAGGGAGTCGTTTGTCAATGAGGGCAGGTTTCCAAATGGCTGGTAGGCGGGAGGTATCATCTCGCTTGTTCATACCTCCCGCCTACCAGCCATTTGGAAACCGCCCTCATGACAAACGACTCCCTAACCCCAAAATCTTAAACCCCTCTGCAACTCAGACTAAACTGAGCACAACCAAACAGAACACTCCCCCAGCCAATCAGAGCACAGCCAAGCCCCTAACCATTCAGAACACACCTCCACCCAATCAGAACACAGCCAAGCTCCCATCCAATCAGTTCATACCCTCACTGGCAGTTAAAAGGAAGAAACAGCTAAAACCACACATTGCTGCTCAAAGCAAGAAGCTAAAAACACCAGCCTGAAGATGACGAATGTGACTTCGTCGAAACGTTGTCAAGACACTTCCAATTTTACGCGGGAGAAAACCCGAACAACCAAAGACCTATATATATATATATATATATACATACATACATACATTGCTTACTGGTGTACACCGCTTAGAGAGTGCTTGCACTTAAAGCGGTATATAAGTCTCATAAATAAAATAAATAAATAAATAAACATCCAGCACCCCAGTGTTAAGAAATAAATTTGATTTTTTTTCCCCTCCCCATTCACGAAGGCCACAGAGCTTTTGGGCAAGCCGATCCAGCGTTCTGAACCTGTGATGCATTTCTGGGCCACTCGGGCACGGAAGCCAATGGCGCCATAACCTTGGGTGCGTCATGCATGAGAACGAAACCACGGCACGGGTAACGGTGAGAGCGGGTTAACGCCATATACCTCCACTAAAGTCACTCTCAGGGCACTGACAAGTGAGGGCTCAATATCCACCAGCTGAACGGCACTAAAACTCTGAATGTCAAAAGTAGCACAAAGACAACACGCACACAGACACACAAACACACACACACACACACACACACAAGACGGTTAGAACTGCAAGGCAAACACAGGTCAGTACGGTTAGTCAAAGAAAATACAACCCACTCTCTTACATAATAGATCCTCGGCCTTGGCGTAAACCAGGAGTCTTCAAACTCGGCCCTTTGATGACTTGTGGACTTCGACTCCCAGAATTCCTCAGCCAGGCACGCTGGCTGAGGAATTCTGGGAATCGAAGTCCACCCTTCTTAAAATGGCCGAGGTTGAGAAACAGCGGTTTAGCTCTTTCTGAGTTAGAATTATTTCCTCCTCACATCATGTCAGGGGTCTTCAAACTCGGCCCTTTGATGACTTGTGGACTTCAACTCCCAGAATTCCTCAGCCAGGCACGAGTCATCAAAGGGTCGAGTTTGAAGACCCCTGGCGTAAACCGTTTGCAGGAGAGGTCAGGTAAACCTTTTTTAGGGGAAAAAGGTAAACTCTTTTAAGGGGAAAAGAGAGAAAATATTTCTATAATGGTTTGAGATTTGTATTAATGATATTTGTGTGTAATTGAATTATGGTAACTCAGCCGCCATGTTGCTTTTCAAAGATATAAATGTAATATCAGAAAATCAATAAAATTTAAAAAAAAAACCACTTTTTTTTAAAGCTATCTATTCTAGGGACATCGATCCAGCCCGACATCCCATGAGCTTGCAAATAGGTAGAGGCGTAAATCTTTTAAATATAAATTGGAGTTAATTCTTGAAAACAAAGCAGATAATCGCTTTTTTTTTTTTTTACGGCTAATTAGTTTCTAGCCCATCTTTGCTCGTAAATTGTGCTCCAGGCAAACAATTCCTGAAATTCTAGAATGGGGAACAGAGTGAGAAGGCGGAAATTAACACCCACGCAAACAAGTTCCTTTAAACAATCAGAGGAATGATTGCTCTGATCATCTTCTGAATAATTAGATTAATTTGAAGGGACCAAGGAAAATTCATCCCTGTGCCTATTTCATCTCCTTGCTTCTATTTTTTTTTTTTTTTTAGCTTTTTAAAATGTGAATTCTTTTTCTATGGACAGATAGTCCTCTACTTTATGACCATTATGGAGCCCAAAATTTCCATCGCTAAATGAGGCAGTTGTTAAGTGAGTTTTTCTCCCCGTTTTACGACCTGTCGTGCCGCAGTTGTTAAGAGAATCCCTGCAGTTGTTAAGTTAGCAATCTGGTTGTTAAGTGAAGCCGGCTTCCCCCCACTGACTTTGCTTGTCTGAAGTTCGCAAAAGGGGATCACGTGACCCTGGGACACCTCGACCGTCATAAATATGAGTCAGTTGCTTAAGGGCCAGAATTTTGATCCTTTGATCTTTGAGGATGCTGCAACGGCCGTTAACGGTGGAAAATTATCCCTTTTTTTCAGTGCCGTTGTTTGCTTCGAACAGTCGCTAAATGAATGGTTGTAAGTCCGAGGACTACCTGTCAGTTTTTAAGCCGCCCGGAATCGCTTTATCGGTGAGAGGGGCGGCATATGAATTTAATAAGTCAATAAATAAAATAGCTGCTTTCCTAGGAAAGGACATTATTGGTTATATTAAACTGAATTAAACAAAATCCCTTTCTTTTTTTCCCCCCATAGGGTGGCACCAGAAGGCTAAAATAAACACAGAAAAAAAAAAACACAGCTAAATGGGTCCCTGTTTCAGATCAAAAGGCCCACTTAAAAGGGGGGGGCTGTTAATTTTGATTTTTGCAAACAGGTGGGACGGTGGTGGTTAAAGGAGAAGTATAGTAACATACTCCATTTCTTTGGGGTGTTGTTTCTCAACCTTAGCAAGATTAACCCAACACAAGATTAACACAACCGGCTGGGGAATTCTGGGAGTTGAAGTCCACCCTTTAAAGTTGCCAAGGTTGAGAAATGTTGGATCTGCCTTTATGTGGATTAAAGCATTTCTGGATCTTCAGACCCCGTTTGGTGTGTGCTACAAAGGGATGTGAAAAGCGGGCGACACTCACAGCCCTTAGAACAGGGGTGGGGAACCACGGGCCCTTCTATGTCTTGGGGACTTCAACTCCCAGAATTCCTGAGCCCGCATTCATGGCCGGCTCAGGAATTCTGGGAGTTGAAGTCTACAGGTCATAAAAGGACCCTCGTTCCCCCTCTTGCCTTAGGAGCAGGCTCTATCTGCCAAACATCTGGGTGACCTCTTCAAACATCTGGATCTCCGTTCCCATCATCGTTGCTGGATTAGAGCAGGGGTAGGCAACCTTGGCTCTTTTATGACTCGCGGACTTCAACTCCCAGAATTCCTCAGCCAGCATGGGGGAACTATGGCCCCTTCATGACTCGTGGACTTCAACTCCCAAAATTCCTGAGCCAGTATGGAGGAATTAAGGCCCCCTTCATGACTTGTGGACTTCAACTCCCAGAATTCCTGAGCCAGCATGGGGGAACTATAGCTCCTTCATGACTTGTGGACGTCAACTCCCAGAATTCCTGAGCCAAAATGGGGGAACTATGGCTCCTTCATGACTCGTGGACTTCAACTCCCAGAATTCCTGAGCCAAAATGGGGGAAACTATAGCCCCTTCATGACTCGTGGACTTCAACTCCCAGAATTCCTGAGCCAAAATGGGGGAAACTATAGCCCCTTCATGACTCAGGGACTTCAACTCCCAGAATTCCTCAGTCAGCATGGGGGAACTATGGCCCCTTCATGACTGATGGACTTCAACTCCCAGAATTCCTGAGCCAGCATGGCTCAGCTTGGAAACCTCTCCCTTTCCCCTCAGCATGGCTGGCTCAGGAATTCTGGGAGTTGAAGTCCACAAGTCATAAAAGAGCCAAGGTTGCCTACCCCTGGATTAGAGGAACGGAAAGAGTTTCTAATTTTATTATATTTTCTCGCCCTCCTCCGGGGATTCATGCAAAGATCTACCTCCATCCATATATATATATATATATATATGTATTTTTGGGGGGGTCTTGTTCTCCTTGCAGAATGGAAGGAGCCTTTGAAAAGCGTCTACACACAGACACACACCAACAAAAGGGTCGTTAGAAAATGTCCTTACGGTGTCACTGTCGCACGGCTGGAACTGGAAGGAGAGCGGCTTGTGGAAGACCGGGTTTTCTTGCAAGAAGAGCTGAAAATTGTAATCCCGCACGACCTGGAAGGGGAAAACAACCAGTGTTTCAAAGTTATGCCAGGCATCGCAAAACGGTAAACACAGGTGGTCCTCGGCGTGCGACCGCACTTTGGGGGTGGCAACTTCCCGTTGCTAAGCAGAGTGGCTCTTGAGCGACTCGCTTTGACGACCGCTTTTTTTTGCAGAGGTCGTTAAGGCAGCCCCCAACCTTTGCTTGCCAGAAGTGGAGATCACGTGATCCCAGGATGCTGAGCCCATCATAGATTCAGGCCATGAATTTGGATTGTCACGCTGTGGGAACGCTTCCACGGCCGTAAGAGCAAGGAGCGGTTGCACACCACCCCATTTTCAGCACGGCTGCAAATTCAATGTTAATTAATAAACGGTCGTAAATCGAGGACTACCTGGTATGGCGCGAAAGTTATTAAAAACAACACGTTTCCACAATTGCACGGCACGTAACAAGGGACAAGTCTATTGTTCTTCAATAAAATGGCTCTCCTATCTATTTTGGATTCCAAAAATCCTATCCAGCCAGCTGGCTCAATTGCAGCAAATAATTACGGCAGATTTTTTTTTTTTTTTTTTGGTACACGTGGATGTTTTTTTTTTAACGCTCGTTTTTAATCTCCTTAAAAACAAACCACGGATTACCGCTATGGAATTCTTTGTAACTGTCCCAATTGTAATGAAAAAGCACATTCAGCCTCAGGTGAAAATGAAATCACAGGAAAACAAAAGAGCTTCTCACAACACAAATTAATGCAGTTTTTTTTTTTTTACCACAACAGTGATCCAAACATCTTAAAAAGAAGCAGAAAAGTGGATTGACCATTAAAACTGTCAATCTCAATAGTCAATCATGTTCAGATGAAGAAAGGATGTCAAGGTTATGATTTAACAGCCAAACAGCTTATGTAAAGATATCAGAAGATGTAATAAGGTAATGCAATATGTGAATGATGCAACAATAAGAATGGCTCAGCATGTGTCTCTTTAAGAGCAAGCAGGGTCTGTATCCCTTTAAGAGCTTGAGTATAAAAGGGAAGGCTTTAGCTGGAGTCTCTCTCTCTCTCTCTCTCTCTGGTCCATTTCCTAATGTAACTGCTGTGTAATAGATTCTGCTGTATTACCACATGTATGTATCTTGTTCCTGATGTATGATATTGTAAATAGTGTACTATAAACCACATTGAATATAGACCACTATTTTCTGTATTTATTCCTGGGTTATCTCAGCGCAATAAGACTGTGCGTGCTCTGACAAAGGAGTTCACAGGTTAACATGCCGAGTGCAATAATGTCCAATTTGAACATGAAAGCCATAGGACAAGTAACAATCTTTATGGGATAATAAAATTAAAATGATCTTGATGGCTTCGACAGGCTGTTTGATTTTTCGTTCTACATGTGAGCGACTGGAATGGATGGAACACACACCCAGCCTTGTAAAATTCGGGCCTTCACTCTGTTGAACAGGAACGCAAGCAGTCCTCGACTTTACCACCACAACTCAGCCTGAAATTTCTGTCGCTAAGCGAGACAGTGGTTAAGTGACTTTTGTGGCAATTTACGACAAATCTCGCCACGGTTGTTAAGTGAATCATTGCAGTCGTTATGTCAGCAACACACATAACTGCCTTCCCCGTTGACTTTGTTTGTCAGAAGGTCGCAAAAAGGGGATCATGCAACCGCCCCGGGACACTGCAAACCGTCATAAATATGAGTCAGTTGCTAAGCGTCCGAATTTTGATTAGGGGACCATGGGGACGCTGAAACCGTCGTTAAGGGTGAACAACGGTCGCAAGTCCCTTTTTTCGGTGCTGTTGTAATTCCAGATGGTCACTAAATGAGCTGCTAATAAGTCGAGGACCGCTGCATAACAAGTGGGTGAAGTCAACATCCTGTATAGGAGCATTTGGGAGACTGAATTGTTATCCCCAACTGGGAGCAATTCCACGTTTTACCTGGCGAGTATCAATTAGTGACACGTTCTGGAGCAGAAAAGGAAGGAACAGGAGACTGTGAGGAAGAGTTTTCCACGGTCACAAAAAAAGATGCCAAAGATAACGGTTACACGTTGCAGCTATAGGTAGTCCTCGGCTTACGACCACCAGTGTGTATGTGTTCACTTTGAGAGCAAGCAACTAAACTTCATTTTTAATGTGTGCCATTGTGCCCACAGTAAAAACGACAATAAAGGTTATCTATCTATCTATCTATCTATCTGTTTGTCTGTCTATCTATCTATCTAATTACTCATCTATCATTATCTATCAATCATTCATCTATCTATATTTATCTATCTAATCACTCATCTATCTATCTATCTATCATTCATTTATCCATCATTCAGCTCTCTATCAATCATTTATCTATCTACTCATCTATCTAATATCATTATTTATCAATCTATCAATCATTCATCTATCTATATTTATCTATAATCAATCTATCTATCTTTCATTCATCTATCATTCATCTATCTATCAATCATTTATCTATCAAATCACTCATCTATGTATCATTATCAATGTATCAATCATTCATTTATCTATAATTATCTATCTAATCATTCATCTATCTATCTATCTATCTATCTATCTATCTATCTATCTATCTATCTAATCATCTATCTAATCATCTATCTATCTATCTATCTATCTATCTATCTATCTATCTATCTATCTATCTATCTATCTCTCTCTCTCTCTCTCTCTCTCCCCAAAATTTCCATAGCTAAGCAAGGCAGAGTGAGTTTTGCCCCATTTTACGACTTTTTTTGTTTTTTTGCCATAGTTGTTTAAGCAAATCACTGAGGTTGTTAAGTGAATCAGGCAGTCATTAAGCAAATCTGGCTCCCCACCCCCCACGCCTTGTTAACTCTGCTTGTCTGAAGCCGGCCAGGACAGTCACAAATGGAGATCCACGTGACCCCAGGATGGTGCAACCGTCGTAAATCCATGCCGGTTGCCAAGCACCTGAATTTGGATCCCGTGACCGTGGGGAGGCCGCGACGGTCGTAAGTGCGAGGACTGGTTGCCAATCACCTTTCTCAGTGGCTTTGTAACTTGAAATGGTCGCTAAACCCTGATCGCACGACCAGGGCGATACTGCGGCAGACACGAGTTATTTTTTTAAACATCGTCGTTAACTTTGACCCATCACTCAGTGAGTGGTCGTAACCCGAGGACCGCCCAAAGAGCTCCCTTCTCAGCTGCACCCCATCAAAGTGTTTATACCGACATTGAACAAGGAGCATTTGACTGCTTCCCGAATCGTCACGCCTGGTTTTTTCTCCTATTTCTGAACGACCTTCAAGATTAGAATAATAATAATCAGATTTTTGGGGATTGCAAAACTTACCCTGCTTGAAGTTTCCAAAAGAAATTGGAATGTGCTTTGAACGGATTGGCAGATTTCTAACTCAGTCCTGCTGAATATCATTAAATAATCCTTAAGGTGGTCATAAACGTTGCCGTCCAGAGCCTGCATGGGAAAAGGAAAACAAAGCAGACATCTATTTGTTAACAGGCATAAGCGAGAAGCCATCCAGATACGTCAATTCACAGTGGTTAGGATTACATGTAGTCCTCGACCTACGACCACAATTGAGCTCAAAATGTCCGTCGCTAAGCGAGACAATTGTTAGGTGAGCTTGGCCCCCTTTTACGACCTTTCTTGTTTAGTGAATCACTTCGGTTGATTCGTAACGTGGTTGTGAAGGCAATCTGGTTTTCCACCACCGACTTTGCTTGTCGGAAGGTCGCGAAAGGGGAATCAGCTGAACCCGGGAAAGGGCGACCGTCATAAATATGAGTCAGTTGCCAATCCATAGCTTGATGCTCGGCTGCTGCGGTCTTGCAGAACCAAGGTACGGATTGAATCCATAGCTTGCTTCTTGGCGGGAGAGGCCTTCCAGAAAGGCCTGTGACTGAGAAATGCAGGCCTGGCTGCAGAAGAGGCCTCAGAAGAAGAAGTGGGCCAGCGAGGAGAGGCCTGGCTGCAAGCTGAGTGGGCGCGGGGTGTGTGGGGCAGATCCACACCCCCACCCCAGCTTGATTTTTAGGTGTGTGACTCACCCCAAAATTAGGGCTTGTTTTTGGGATAGGGCTTATATTAGGCCCACCCCCCCAAAATCAAGCTAGGGCTTATTGTTGGTGTAGGCCTGGGATAGGCAACCTTGGCTCTTTTATGATTCGTGGACTTCAACTCCCAGAATTCCTGAGCCAGCATGGGCGGAACTATGGCCCCTTCATGACTCGCGGACTTCAACTCCCAGAATTCCTCAGCCAGCATGGGGGAAGCATGGCCCCTTTATGACTTGTGGGCTTCAACTCCCAGAATTCCTCAGCCAGCATGGGGGAACTATGGCCCCTTTATGACTCGTGGACTTCAACTCCCAGAATTCCTCAGCCAGCATGGGGGGAACTATGGCCCCTTTATGACTCGTGGACTTCAACTCCCAGAATTCCTCAGCCAGCATGGGGGGAACTATGGCCCCTTTATGACTTGTGGACTTCAACTCCCAGAATTCCTGAGCCAGCATGAAGGAACTATGGCTCCTTCATGACTTGTAGACTACAACTCCCAGAATTCCTGAGCCAGCATGAGGGAACTATGGCCCCTTCATGACTTGTGGACTTGAACTCCCAGAATTCCTGAGCCAGCATGGCTCAGCTTGGAAACCTCTCCCCTCAGCATGGCTGGTTTAGGAATTCTGGGACTTGAAGTCCACGAGTCATCAAAGAGCCAAGGTTGCCTACCCCTGGTGTAGGCCTTACTTTCGGGGAAATAAGGTATCAAGCTTTAACACGAAAACGAGAGATTTTAATGGCAAAAGGGAATAGCTGGGGGAAAAGGGAATAGCTGGGGGAAAAGGGACATCTGAATAGCTGGGGGAAAAGGGACATCTACTGTGCTTCGCCACGCAGCCTGTAGAAGCCGATCTTCATTAAGCCAACAACAGGGAATTCAGAGTTTAAACTGTGTTTAAACAAAGCTGCTAATAGGAGGGTCGGAGCCACGTTCAATGCGGTCTTTACCGTCTCGTTTCCTGAACTGCCACTTTGTCGTAATGAAAGGACGACAACTTAGCCCTCTTCAAGACAAGATGGTCCAGGTGAAAATAAGAGGCCTGCAGAGCTGCTATTTTGAGCAACTTGCGAGAACCAAAAGAAAAAAGGGGACTCAAAGCAGCAGCGCTGAAGTGTTCTAACTTGGCTTACGGAAATCAAAGATGGTCGGCTTGATAGCAAGGGCTGGTCCAAGGAACTCTGGATCATGTCGGAAGAGAAACACTTAAGCTGATGGGTAGCACACAACCAGCTCAGATAAGAATGTGGACAGAAAGCTTTTTACAATGGGGGGGGGGAGAGCGAGGGGAGGAGGGAGAGAAAGAGACGGAGGCAGAGAAAGAGGAAGGCAGAGGGAAGGAGAGAGGGAGGGATGGGGAGGGAGGGAGGGAGAGAGGAAGGCAGAGGGAGGGAGAGAGAGGGAGAGAGGGATGGGGAGGGAGAGAGGAAGGCAGAGGGAGGGAGAGAGAGGGAGGAAGAAAAAGGGTGGGAGGGATGAGGGAGGGAGGAAGGCAGAGGGAGGGAGAGGGGGAGGGAGAGAAAGAGAGGGAGGGTTGGGGAGGGAGAGAGAGAGAGGAAGGCAAAGGGAGAGAGGGAGGGAGGGATGGGGAGGGAGGGAGGAAGAGAGAGAGGCAGAGGGAGGGGGAGAGAGAGAGGGGGAGTGGGAAGGGAGGGAGAGGGAGCAAGAGAGGGAGAGAAAGAGAGAGGGAGGGATGGGGAGGGAGGGAAAGAGGAAGGCAGGGAGGGAGGGGGGAGGGAGAGAGAGGGAGGAAGAGGAAGGCAGAGGGAGAGAGAGAGGGGGAGGAGCGGGGAGGGAGAGAGAGAGAGCAAGGGGAGGGGGAGAGAAAGAGAGAGGGAGGGAGGGATGGGGAGGGAGAGGAAGGCAGAGGGAGGGAGGGAAAGAGAGAGAGAGAGAGGGAAGGAGGGATGGGGAGGGAGGGAAAGAGAGAAAGGCAGAGGGAGGGAGAGGGGGGAGTGGGAAGGGAGAGAGAGGGAGGGATGATGGGGAGGGAGGGAGAGAGAGAGAGGAAGGCAGAGGGAGGGAGAGAGAGGGGAAGCGGGGAAGGAGAGAAGAGAGGAAAGAGAGAGGGAGGGAGGGAGAGAGGTGGGGGCGGCGAGGGAGAGAGAGAGCGAGAGAGGGAACGAGAGAAAGAGAGAGGGAGGGATGGGGAGGGAGGGAGAGAGAGGAAGGCAGAGGGAGGGAGAGAGAGGGGAATGGGAAGGGAGAGAGGGATGGGGAGGGAGGGAGGGAGAGAGAGGAAGGCAGAGGGAGGGAGAGAGAGAGAGAGGGGAACGGGGAGGGAGAGAGAGCAAGGGGAGGATGGAGAGAAAGAGAAAAAGAGAGGGAGGGAGGGAGGGAGGCAGAGGGAGGGAGAGAGAGAGAGGGAGGGATGGGGAGAGAGGGAGAGGAAGGGAGGGAAAGAGAGAGAGGGAAGGAGGGATGGGGAGGGAGGGAGGGAAAGAGAGAAAGGCAGAGGGAGGGAAAGGGGGGAGCGGGGAGGGAGAGAGAGTTCATTTTGTGACTGCGGGGTTCCACCCAAAAAAGTTGTAAAATCAAATCTAACCATCACCACATACGACTGAAATGGGCAGAGTCCATTACAGTCGTATGTCAAGGACTATCTGTGATATAGATTTTTTTTATTATTATTTTGTAAGAAGCAATTTGAGTGCCCAGGGATGGGATAGTATACTCATTAAAAAAAAAAAAAAAACACCTAAATTATGTATGGAACGGTGTTTTGTAAAAAAAATTAAGAAATCTTAATGCCTGCAAAACCCAACCTGTTCGTCAGCGGATTTAAAAATTATTCAATCTTTTCTTTTCTGTTTGACCTTGAACGGCCACTGTTTCTGGACCAGTCCCCTCCCTGGAGCTAAGAGGGGTAAAGAGAGACGGGCTGCAAAAACCACTTCCTAAATCTGAAACGAAAGCTATCACCTGTGGTTTGGGGGTTTTTTTTGTTTTTTTTTTACAAAGTCACACTGTCAGGAAATGAAGAAACAGCACGAAGATAACTCAGAGCGCCACCGCAGTTTATTAAAAAGCAGGTCACAACTCCAGATAAAACAATATTGCTTCCTTGCTATTTTAAAAGCAATTTTAAGCCTGTGTTTTCGCAAGGAGCCAAAGATGGCACACGTCTCTTTTCTTTTTCACGTTGCCTTCGTCCTCTCTCTCTCTCTGGGCTGTTCCCGTCACGAAATCATCTTAACCTTAGTCTGATGGCTCTATTCTTTATTTAGATCAGTGTTTCTCAACCTTGACCATTTTAAGGCATGTGGACTTCAACTCCCAGAATTCCACAGCCAGCCATGCTGGCTGTGGAATTCTGGGAGTTGAAGTCCACATGCCTTAAAATGGTCAAGGTTGAGAAACACTGCTTTAGATGTTTACCTCCTGCCATTATTATTATTATTATTATTATTATTATTATTATTATTATTATTATTATTATTGCAAATGACTCAAGGCAATGGACGTATCCGACACATTTTTCTCCTCCTATTTTCCCCACTAAAACAACCCTGTGAGGTAGGCTGGGCTGAGAGAGAAGGACTGGTCCAAGGTCACCCAGTTGGCTTTCATGCCTAAAGCAGAACTAGAACACAGCACCTCCTGGTGATTGGCCCAAAGCCACCAGCTTTGGGGAAAGGAAAGGAAAGGGAAGGGAAGGGAAGGGAAGGAAAAAGAAGAGAAGGGGAGGGAAGGAAAGAGGGAGGGAGGGATGGAGGAGGAAAGGAAAGGAAAGGAAAGGAAGGGAAGGAAGGAAAGGAAAAGGAAGGGAAGGGAAGGGAAGGAAAGGAAAAAGAAGAGAAGAGAAGAGAAGGGAAGGGAAGGGAAGGAAAGAGGGAGGGAGGGATGGAGGGAGGAGGAAAGGAAAGGAAAGGAAGGGAAGGAAAGGAAGGGAAGGAAAGGAAGGAAAGGAAAAGGAAGGGAAGGGAAGGGAAGGGAAGGAAAGAGGGAGGGAGGGATGGAGGGAGGAGGAAAGGAAAGGAAGGGAAGGAAAGGAAGGGAAGGAAAGGAAGGAAAGGAAAAAGAAGAGAAGTGAAGGGAAGGGAAGGAAAGAGGGAGGGAGGAGGAAAGGAAAGGAAGGGAAGGGAAGGGAGGGAGGAAGGAAGGAAGGAAGGAAGGAAGGAAGGAAGGAAGGAAGGAAGGAAGGAAGGAAGGAAAGAAGGAACCATCAACAGTACTAATGAATGTTTTTTTACATTATGGGAACTACGAGAAGGTGACAACATAGCCCAGAACTCAAAGCCTCCTGGTTCCTAGTCTGGTTCCTTCGCCTCTAACCCAAACTAGAAAAGTCATAAAATGGGGCAAAACTCGCTTAACGACTGCCTCGCTTAGCAACAGAAATTTTGGGCTCAGGACGGGAACGTCCTCGATTTACAACCCACTCATTTAGCGAC